TAAAATACAATCTGTAGCTGCCATGTGTATGTAAATGTTCAAATGTATTATAGTCAATAGATTTATTACACAATTATAACTAAGTCACAAAATAAATAGGAGAATCATATGTTATTTTAAATACAGTATTTTAAAATTCAGATGTTACTGGGGAGTGGATGATGAATGAGAGGAACAATGGCTATGACTTCATTTGGAAGTCACATTCCCAACCTTACCTGGAGGGCTGAGACCAGAATCTTAGTTTTGAAAGGCGTTTTCTGTGGCCAGCAGGGCAGTGGGTCGCTATACACTATGGGGTGTCAAAGGGCCAGCTAACCTGAATCAAAAGTTCTCTTGTCCAAGATCTCCAGCCAACTGCAGCACAAACTATTTTTTTTAAATGTTTATTTTTAAGAGAGAGAGAGAGAGAGAGAGAGAGAGAGAGAGAGCACGAGCACAATTGGGGGAGGGGCAGAGACGGAGAGGGAGACACAGAATCTGAAACAGGTTCCAGGCTCTGAGCTGTCAGCACACAGCCCAACACGAGCCTTGAACTCAGGAACAGCGAGATCATGACCTGAAGTCTGACACTTAACCGACTGAGCCACCCAGGTGCCCCAGCAGCACAAACCTTTTGTAAAGACAAGTGGTATCCACATTTTCACTTATGTAATGGAAAAATACATCTGCTATAGTCTGGCAGTTCATCAAAAGATTAAATACAGAGTTACCTTATGAACACAACAATTCCACTCCTAGTATATGCCCGAAAGAAATGAAAAATATAGCCACATTAAAAACTTGTGCAAGAATGTTCATAGCAACATTATTCATAGTAGACAAAAATTGGACACAACCCAAATGTCTATCAAATGACGAATGGATAAATAATAAAATGTGGCATATTCATATAAATGAAATATTGTTTAACAATAAAGAACTGAAATACTGATACATTCCACAATAGGGATGGATCTTGAAAATGTTATGTTAATTGAAAGAAGCCAGACACAAAAGACCACATATTGTAACATTCCATTGATATGAAATGTCCAGAATAGGCAAATCCACAAATCAACAGAAACAGAAAGGAGATCAGTATCTCCAAGGGTCGAGTGGGTCGTGTGGAAAAGGAGAGTGACAACTAAAAGGTACAGGGTTTCTTTTGGGGGTAATAAAATGTTGTAAAATTGATTGTGGTGTCAGTTACACAACTCTGTGAATATACTAAAGGCCACTGAATTCTACACTTCAAAAAGGTGAATTATATGGCATGCGAATTTTATCTCAGTAAGACTGTAACCCAAAAAAGGCAACAGACACATGAAAAGACGCTCAACATCACTCATCATGGGGGAAATACGAATCAAAGCCACAATGAGATACAGCCTCACC